TTACTCAATACAAGATAATGGATCATTCTACTTACTCAGAAGTTTGGGTACAACTGCCTGGGACAATGGAAAAGAAGACACCTTATCAATGTTCAGTAGGTCTCAGTTCCCATGAAAAGGGATGTGGCAACTCAGAGCTCACCAGTGGCCCTCAGGAGGCAAGCTGATGTCCACCAGCACTGCAGAGGATTCCCAGCTTTCATTATAGGAACCCGTGGCGTTCATTTAGCAAGGACAGAGCCTAGCAGTGCAGTTAAATTAATGGTACTGTTAATGACACTTCATTAATTTATGTCCCACATGGCTACGTTGAACAAATAAACCATCTGCAGTATGCTGCTGTTCTGAATTGTCTCTGCAGGTTTCAAGTCCTTGCATCACATTCCCCTCCAATCTAGATTGTCAAGGAGTCATAAGTGGTCCAATTACACAGGCAACTGACCCACTACTGCTGAAAATACTGCCTCCTGTGAAACTCCATGAAGGTAAGAAATATCACAGTATTGACATTCTCCTGGACACAACTCTGTGACAGTCAAGTGCAAACAGAAAAAAGTGAGCAGCAGGTGGAGAACAGCCCTATTTTATTTCTCTAAAGACCACAGATCTTATTTTTCCAACAGAAACACAGCACTTGTCCTTGCTCTGGCAACACTGAAATCCTTAGATGGTAAGAAATTCAAGATAGTGATTTTATAAACCTTTTAGATACACTTTTATTTTTTCCCCCAAACCTTCTAAGCTGGGGATTCACTTCCAAAATAGCTTTCCTATCAAATACAGCAGATATAGGTTATAAAACCCCAAAGATGTAATCAGCACTTTTTTATGGAAGTTGATTAACGGGTTTGCCGAATTACCCAGCCCAGAATTGTGTATATATATTATTAAACCCTATTTTGAGTTTGCATATTACCTTCCTTAAGAGTGCCGTAGTTCCTCTGTTTGGTGTTTTATACATTTACAAAGATACACAAAAGTTTTGTCTTATTAAGAGAAAAATTGCACAGAATGAGAAAAACTTCTTAGGTAACTTTGGAATCTTTTAACTTGTAAATTAGCAATGAAAGCACTGAGATAAGTCTTTGGGAATATATTTGAAGTCTTAATGAAGGGGTCAGATTACAAAAAGCCATAGTGGGAGTATTATATGAGGAAGCTTTAAAGTTAGTTGCAGTGTATTAAAAAAACAACATTCAAATAAATTATTTTTCACTGCAGTATGCCAAGTTTTTGGAGATAGAATTAAAATTGGGCTTTCATTTTAGACCAAGTAAAGCATAATACTAGACTATAATACTGCGTATACTAGTGAGATCCAAATGCCCACGGTGTTGCAAGAGAACATTTTCCCTCAGGCATTTGAAATGTAATGCTTCTTTAATATTCTCTGTTGGATATTGTTAGAATGGAATTTCAAATATTTCCTGCAATTTGAGTTAAAGATTACTGAATAATGCTGAGCAGCAGAAAATTTTTGAAGCGTACATCTAAAGCTGGCATAGTAGCTTAATGTCCTGTTGTTTCTTGCTTTAGCAAAATTAATTTCTTCAGTCTTCAACCACGAATTCACGCACCACCTGGAGATACAAACCCATAATTTAACTGTGGTGTATTTCTAGCTCCCTTGCCTAATACACACTGAGGCCAGATCCTGTCTGTCAGGCAACTATAACAGGAAAAGGCCATTTCAGAGCAATGCTTTATATTCGCCCATATCAGACAGTAAGCAACTTCAAAAACAGTATCTGGCCCATTATTGTAAATAAATCTGATTACAGGCCATGAAACAAAAGCATATTGTATTATATAGACAAGAGTAACACCTTTCCAATAGGACTCAAAATATTCAAAAGTCTTTTATCCAATTAAGGTCCAATTTTTTCACCATATCTGTGTTAGTGCTTCACCATGGCTACTCTTTACAGGTAAGGGCAGATGGCAAATTGAGCAGAAAGGCATAGCTGTATCATTCTAAAAGGAAACTAGAAAAATACAAACTGCAATTATGATTCCTGTTGCTTGATTACTTCATGGAGAAGCCTCCACCACCCAAAGATGCAGCATCTTTCCACCATTTGTGTCATGATATAAGCGGTCAATTACCCAATTTTCTTCTGTGGCCATTGCTCCCTTCTCATTCATACTTGGGCACATGACTACCTGAGTTCAAATTAACTAATTCCTCAATACCATCCCAGCCTGACAGGACAACTCTCAATGACTTCATGACAGGCCCAAAAGTTTCTAACATTTTCTTCAAGTGTGAGCCTGAGGGCCATTCTCATGGGTTCCAACATAACCCTCACCAACACTGAACTGAAAGAAAAACAAAAAAATATATGCATGCCTGTTTTTGAGCAACAAGAAACTCCAAGTTATGTAGCACTGGTATGGACAATAGAGTCCACACAGCCGGAATCAGCTGGAATTTTATTCAGAGATGGGACTGTTTAGCCCTACAGTGTGCAACTGAATGAGTACAGGCATGTGCAGAGTACTTGTGGTTATGTGAGCAGAACGAATAAAGGAAATTTTTTCTTTCTTTACTCAAATATCAGCAGATGCTGAATACGGCCAGTATTATAAGCATATATGTTACTAAAACCACCCATAGACTCTGCTGCTGCCTAAAAATCAGTTTGGATAAGGTTTCCAAAAGCAGGCCAGATACCAAAATGAATTTGTTAAACAGCAGAAAAACCTCCAGACAGGAAACAAAGTGCTTAGTTGCCTCTTACACTTATTACTGATAAATTCATGTTTGAAATTTATGTTTCACTTATGAATAATGCCATTAAGATAAAAAATTATCAGTTTTTTCTATCAGTAAATAATTATATTTTATATAATTAACAAAAAAAAATCAACACCGTAAGACGTAATTCTCCTTCCACTGGTATTTCTACAGATATTTTCTTTGAGACACTAATTATTGGGGGGGAAAAAAGGGAGAAAAATTTAGTTTGTATAGTGGCAGCTATTAAGAATTTGGTTCTGCAAAAATACAGAAATAAAGTCACATGGGTATTGTAAAACAAACTGAAATATTTTAAGCAAACTATGTGATCATAATTCATAGAAATAAGCCTAATGAGAAAAACTCTTGTAACTGTGCAAGAGATTTGGCATGGAAGAGCATTCATCAGTCATTCTGACATGGAAAGGATGGATAAAGGAAGCAGATGGATTCACCCATCTGCACTGCACCTAAAAAAGGGAAAGTCATCATTATGGTTGCTAGCTTCTTGTTCAAGATGTATAACCTCATTATCAGGTTATAATGAACAAATGCAAAAGAAAGTCTTACGAGAGAAAAAAACATTTATTTTCAGTAGGACCTGTTTCCCTTGACTAAATTGATTCACTTGACTAAATGCTTACCTCATTTAAAAAACTCACAAGGACATCAGCTTAATGTTTACATCTAGTGGAGGGAATGGGTGCTGGTGCTCATGTTGGGTTTTTTTTAATGTTGCAATGAATTAACTTTAAGAGTACAAGGTTTGCTTTGGTAGAACTTGAATTGTTACACAGGTCATCTCCTCTCTGGAACACCAACCTGCTCCTCCTCCAGACAGTGACATTAGTGAGTACAAAATCCACACATTGCTGTCACAAAGTCTCTGTTCAATCAAGAGAAAGACAGATTTGTGTTAAGGTAGAATACAGTAAACTACTTCTCATGCACCAGGAACACAACCTTTCTGTTCACTTTGCAATAATTCAGAGATCAACTTTGCTGAATTTACAGCCAACGTGCCAAAGTTTTTGTGCCGTGCCTGATGTGGTTGCTTGATTTGTGGGTTGGTTTTGTTTGGCTTTGTTTTTAAACAGGGATTCTCTGCAGCCCAGACCTTGTAACAACTGTGAGAAGAAAACCCTCCAGAAGTGGTGCTTGGGTGGTGGATGAGGACAGATCTTCCAGGGTCCCTCAGCTCTGGGGGTGCCATTAGGAAGCCACTGTGCCACCACCCCCTCTGGTCAGTGTGGGAGCCCTGAACTCCTTTGGGCACCAGAGCACCCACCTCAGATGTGATGTGCACCCACACCAGAGGAGGCCTGAACCCTCAGTGTCCCTGCCAAACCTAAAACACCTGCTTGTACTGTTGGCCTACTCAGGGAAAGCAAATAAAAAAGAACTTTCTGTTCACAATTTGAATTAATATTTGACTCATGAATAGTTCATAAAGATCACTAACACATATTTCATGCAAGCTACAGATCATTTGTGTCTTTTCATAGGCAGCAGCCACATGAGTACAGGATATTATTGCATCATTGCTACCTGTTAAAAACATGCTGAAGGCTGTAGAAATCAATTGACGATAACTATCCAACTTCAATTTAAAAACCAACTAAGCTGTTAAGAAATTTAAAATAAGCAATATCCATAGAAGGTAAAATTTCTCTTTTAGAAAGAAAGTTTTCACCACAGCAAAAACAAAATCTGGAATATAAATGGAATTTATAGATTAGCTTATTCATGACATTTAATGTCCATGCAGTACTACATGACTGAAGTTTAGAAATGAATGGTGAAAAATTATGTTTGGGACATTAGCACTAGGAATTAAAAAAAAAAAAAAGCTTAATTTTCTGAACTACTATTTTAATAGTTCTTGTTCATATTTATATTTTTTTTAAATCTATTATAGATTTCTCACACACTTCACAAAATATTTTTTTGTAATGTTTTACCTTATTTCTGAAATATCTCTTACTATTATTCCCTTGAACCAGAACACAGAAGAGATTTACAAAACTCTTTCAATTCTAGCATTTCTAGGTTTGAGCCTGGCCACTATATAGTTAATTTTTCTTACATGGTCTTGTGCATTTTAAATGTTAATTATATCACACAGACTTAGCTACAAGAGACATGACTTGGTAACAACAATTGTAAGGAAATGCATAAGATAAGAAACCTGTACTAGACATAGAGAGGTTGATAACAAGAAAAATTTACAAATTATTGAAACTGAAGTGTAAAAACTTACCTAAAAATATTCATCAGTTTCTATAGATGGCAATGAAGTAAAAGAAAATCCCATCCAAAATACAGTTAAAGAAGACAGCCAGCTGTTAACAGAGAATAATTAATTTTAAATTTTTTTTTAAAAAAATTAAGGGATAATTCTGGCAGACTACCCTTCAAAACTACTAGTTGCCTTGAAAAATAATACTTAATCTCCTGAAAATGGAGATTAAAACATCTTAATACTTTAGTGTGTTGTTTAATTACCGATTTCCATGTAATTCAGTATCTTTTGAATGTAAAAATTGCAAAGTGTGTTTGAAAGTTAGCCCAGAGCCCAATTCATATGCACACTAAATTTCCATTACTTCATTTGCACGTAATGTTTATATTTATGCAGCTTTTTGGCTTACAGTGCTACACGATAGACTCGTACTAATGAAACATTGGGGAGCATTAAATTATTTTTTTTTAAATTATATTTAAATTTTACTTGGAAAACATCAAAGCTTAACAAGTAGAAACAAAATATAAGAAGGAAATACCAGAACTCTTAAGTTTTGCTGACTTTAAAAATTACACCACATTCATAAAAGGCAAAATTTTACAGTATTTTTAGTTAAATCAGCACAGAAAACAACTGAATCCAACTTGATCTAATTATACTGGGATTGAAATAAACTGATAAACAGGGTTCTGACAAACAAAAGCATTTACACGTGGCTTTGCACCAAAACAAATCACTTTCAACACAAGGTAACAAGATTTGTTGCTATCTCCAACAGCAAATAATTCCAGGAGCACAAGCTTGGGTAGAAAAGGAGCAAGAATAAGGACAGTCATCTACACAAAAAAGTTTGAAAATTTCAAGTTAAGCTCTTAACTGAAATCCATTAAATCAATACAATCTGTAAGCTAACACAGACAAATCAATTTACAGCCTGCCAACATTGATTTACCTGAAAATTGATAAGAAATCAATTAAACTGAACCAATTATGGTCAGCGGAAATTACCTTACGTGGGTTCACATCAGGTTTTGTGTATACTTAAATCTTAAACAATCTTAAATAGTGTTAATTAAGTCTGTACAGCGTCTGGGTGCAGAACAGGTTAGGAGTCACCAGGGTAAAGCATCTTGGGACACTCTGGGAGACTCTGCGTTAAACAAGCTCCCTCCTCCTGAGCAAGCTTCCCTACGCTTCCCAGCAAGCCAGCCCTCAGCTATTTGGCTTTCGAACTCGTCCACGGAAGGGAACCTGGCTACGGGCTTCATTCATATAAAACATACGGTCATTAATCGATATAAATCGGTGCAGCTCCACAGCTTGGAGAAAGCTGGGAGGGTAGGGGCTGCAGCCGGGCAGGCGGCTGGCCCCGCTGCAGAGGCTGCCGGCTCTCCCAGGCTCTCCAAAGCTCTCCAAGGCTTTCCAAGGCTCTCCCAGGCTCCCGGCACCTCCCGAGCCGCGGCACAAGCCGCCCCTCACACCCGCTGCCCCAGGGGAGCAGGCTCCCTTTTCCGTGGCAGGAGCGAAGAAGCTGCCTCGGGACACACGCTCCTTGCATTGCTTTTCTAAAACACTGCTATAAGGGCTAGAGCAAGATTTCAAAGATTTTTGCGAGGCCTTCACAAAACACTGAACTAACAGGGAATCCTGTCAGGATCTGAGGGAAAAGGAAAATCAGCTGTGCTATCCAAGACCTGCTTTTTTAAACCCTACCAACAGTTTAGGAAGCTCTGTTCAGCTGAGGTATTTATGCCGTAGCAGCCTCCCTTACAGCCAGACCAAAGGAATTTACTTCACTCAACAATTCGAAATACGAGTAAACGAGCAGCTTTATTTCTGCACAAGTGATCGCTAGTTTAGCCACGCAGTTCTACCAGCGGAATAGCACAGGTAAGCTCTCAGCTTTCCCTGAAAACAAAAAGAAGGCCAAGCAACAGGGCGGCAGGATTTCATCAAGTGTGGAGCGCCGGGAACGCGCCGGCAGCTCCCCGAGGAGGCCGGGCGGAGGGAATCGCGCGGGAAACGCGAGGGGAACGCTCTGCCCGCCCGGGCTCGCGGCTCCGGGATGCCCCGGGGCCGGGCGGGCAGGGCAGGGCCCGGCCGCGCACTCGCACCCACCGAGCGCTCCGGGTTCGCGGGGCGAGCGCGGCGGC